TTTGCACCTGAGGAGAACATCTCGCAGAAGTTACTGCCCACCTATAGAGGACCGTGGCCAGTCCTAGAAGTCGAGGGCGGCGAAGATGGACCGTCCTACACCATAGAGCTGCCAGCCCACCTCCACACTTACCCAGTTTTCCATGCATCGAAGTTGTTACCTTGTCAAACAAGTGATTTGTTTCCATCCCGTAGATCTATGATTCCGCCCAATATGGATGGAAGGTATGACATCGATGGCGTAGTTGCTGAAGATGTATTCAGAACTGGAGGTAGGGGTCGTCCACAGAAACTGTACAAGGTTCATTTTAGCTATCAAGAACTGGAAGACGACCGCTGGTTTACAAGATTTGAACTCCTAGAGACAGCTCCCGATATAGTCCATGCCTACGACAGACAGCAGAAGGGTAAAGGTCCTGCCTTGGATTGAAATTTTCTCGGAGGACCTCGAATTTAGGCCGGCGGGAGTGAAACGGTATTCACCAATTCGCAGAAGCGAATGCAGATCCCAGGGCTCAATTCCTAGTTCCCCGTCTTACCTGTGTACAGTATTGATGCCAACCCGTAGATTTGAACCTGCGACATGTAGGAACGCCAGTGGTAGGTAGATTGTCGTAGGTCACAGGGTAGAAGGGAATCGAACTGTAAACCTGTAGCGTAGGAGTCTAGACAGTTCCAAAGTCGTAGCTGTAGGATGTCTGAAGGGTCAAGGTCGTAGCTGCTACTTACCTGAAGGGGCAAAGTCGTAGCTGCTACAGCACCGAAAGGCCAAGTCAGAGGGTTCTAGAAGTGGCCTTTCGGAGTAGACCTGCGTTGAACAGAGGCAAGTGGTCAAGTGGTGGTAGGCCACCTCGCTGAGTCAACAGTCCCAGTTAAGCAGTCCGGTCCTGTCCAGCAAGTACCGTCTGGGACTGTGTGCACCAAGGGCCAAGGGACACAAGGCAGATCAACGCAGCGCAGAAGTATAAATCAAGAGGCTGCGTCCAGCCATTCATTCATTCCTGCGGATGCCATGCGGAAGTGCTGCCTCAGCAGCTTGTGCAAGGAGGTCTGCAGTGTGCCCGAAGACGAAGTGGGCAGAGAAGCGTAGTGTAGCGATAGGGTAGTGGCAGCTAGCGCTGCCATAGTTGTAGCATAGGGTATGTGTGTGTTGTGTATGGATACTGAGTGTTGCGTGTGGGACATCCAGGGTGATCCAGGGTGCGAACAGTGAGTTGTGTGGGCGCACAGTCGCCATAGCTTGTTGGAAGAGAACTCTTATCTGGTCACGATATCTTTGAGTACTGTGTGGGTGCATGTCGCCAGTTTGCTGTATCGCTGTTTGCATGCATGACGAAGTGTGAATAAGTCGAGTCTGATTGCACTAATGTCATCACCTGGCGTCGCATGATGCATAAGAAGGTGGCAACCTTGGAAAGCTGGCTGCAAGACGTTTACAGTAAAGCCACCTGAGGTAGTATAATTACTACAATGACTTGCTGATTTTGACTGCCAAGACTGACTGCGAGGATGTACAGTACAGCGGTAGGTTAGATTCGTAATTTTGTTTGGCTGAGGGCTAACCGAGAGACCTACCTGTAAGGAAAAGGCGTGAGGGACACATCTCCAAATATGGGCAATATAGGCCCAGCACCACGTCGGATTTCCTACAGCTACCCTAACTGCATGTAGCAGACCCGGGCTACCCCTACGACGGACAGGCCCAAAGGGGCCTATACCGATAGATGGTCCTATAGGCTATAGCCGGGTAGGGAGAGGCCCAGAGGCCGAAACTGGAACGGTACCGGTCGGTCCAGTCAGTCGGGTCTAGGTCTAGGCTACGGTAGTGTAGTTCTATTAATAGTTTGGGGGGAAATCGATGATGGACTTTTGGCATTTCATTTTCGCGATTCAGCGTTCTGAAACCAACCAAGTTGGTGGTGATTGTCTACAGGCGGCATCCTGAGACCCTCATCGCGGACGGCAGCCATAGCCCGCCTGCCGGTGTTTGCCATAGCTTGGGCACCCACTGAGCATCTACCCCTGAGGGTAWCTGCAATTGGCTGGGCTGTTCTGAGGCTCTCCACTGACGGTATGTGGGTGGACCACTGTCGCCCTTCACTCCTTCAAGATTGTCAGGGCTTCGTC